GAATGAAGAAATAAAATGAAGGAAGGAAGGAAGGAAGGAAGGAAGAATGAATAGATGAATGAAGAAATAAAATGAAGGAAGGAAGGCACATATGGACGAAGGAATGGATGAATGAAGAAATAAAATGAAGGAAGGAAGGCACATATGGACGAAGGAATGGATGAATTACGCAGTCTTTACCATTTGAGGGTGCTCCGCGAAGGATATCTCCAGAAAGCTCTCAGCAATACGAGTAACACTGTCTTCTTTATATGCAGGGTTGAACTGGATGAGTACAGGCACGCACTCAGACACGCCCAAAGACAACACCTATGGACAAGTAATGATAAGACATGATTAACATACGATAATTATAATATACCCTAACAACCTGTAGAGACCTTTAGCACGACGTTCTTGCAAGGTACCGCAATCCCTAAACTGCAGTTCGACGTCAGGCGTTTTCCGTCACACTTTCGACATTTAGAAAGGCGTCAACAAGAAGTTAATGCTGAAACAGGCGCCATGTTGAATTTCATTGATGCTGTGCGTTTCTCTGTGTTTGGGGTTGTGTTTCTGGGCCTGATCCCTAGCGGTTAGCGGTAAACCTGATGCTAAATGTCTCTATTTTCTAGTAAACAGGGTTTTTATGTTCTTTTTTGGATACATTTCTTAGCTATTGTTATGTAACATATAATGCGTGACTTTTATATCAACATACGGGCATTTGGTTGCAAAATATCGAGACACGGTTTCCATGGAAAGCAATTTACAAAGGATTACAATATAAAGCTTACTGTTTCAGAAGACTCGACATTGAGTGGAGCCCATCTCTGGTCTTCGACGAGCAATTGGAAGGGATGCATGGTCTTGAGCTTGACGGTCAAAGGTAAAGATGACACATTGGTCATCATCACTTGTTTGGTCTCTACTTCCAGGGTGCTCTTTGGATACTAAATGAGATGAAACCCATTCATCAAACAAACTATCCAAGTTTCCATTTTGGAAGATCTAGTTGAGCTAGTGTCAGGCCCTACCCTTACGAAGGAATCGTTAAAAACCACGTTTCCTATGCATCCTTTTTCTCGAACTCAGGAAAAGGCTACGTGGCCTATGGCTAGCTTGCAAATTGACAAAGAGTTTTAGGAAGCTTGAATCTTTTTCTTCTCAAAATAAGCTTCTCTCTTTTCTTCTTGTGGGCAATCATGAAAATGATATCCGAAAATGCACTTATGTAGAATATTTTCAATTCATTTGGAGATAAAAGAAGAACTTCGGGAACCAAAATACGAGGTATGAACTAAATAGGCCTTTTCTGAGTTCCATAAATAGGTGACATTCTAGTATAGCTTGAGTACAAACAACACCATATGAGACATGATGAACAACATATGTTTGGACCCAAGCCAGACCACAATGCATCATATTTACTATCTCATAAAAGGTCTATCTATTTTAACTAAGCTAATTAGCAATTAGCCCTCGAGCCCAAATGGGGTATAGACTCAAAAGCCATGAGGGCAAGATGACTAATTGTTTTAGTCAAGTCCAACTAGTCTGATATATACATATTAATATATATAAATGCAAACAAGTTTTGAATGGAAGTTAATTTTAATGTTTTGGTTTTCAAAACCGGCACTTTTCGCTACTAGTAGGTTATAATTTATACCTAGTAGTAGCTCATCCAATCGGAATGCAGCATTGGTAAAAGACCGCTAGTTGGATTTAATAAAATAACTTGCATATACGACTTACTTTCATAACACAGAAGTGGACCTCCCTTTGTGAGAAGTCTAGTAATGGACTGATGAAGTCTGCCATTATATCCACCTTCATGATCTTCTCTTTACCGGTACTGGTACCAATGATAGCGTGACAGATCATTCGCTCCTTTACTTTCTGAGTCCTGGGAATTAAAAGATCGGATATACTGTTACGTCAGATGTCTCAAGGATTTGAGGTCTAAAACTTGGAATACCCCGAAACAGCAAGAGCTTGAAGCGTTACACTTAAGCTGAAACGCGTGTGCTGTAGCTTAGCTTTGCGTGACAAGTTTTACTCTGAAAAAAGTGAAAATCGCTAACTTCCACTTTTACACTTGTTTCGGGTTTTTACCATGTAAGAACCCATTAAATAGACTCCATAATAGATGAAACTTGTGTTGTCCAGAGAATGGACGTTTTCCCGCGTACTGAACAATTTTCAACTTTATTTACTTACTTTTCTGAGTAGCCCATGAGTGTGATCTCTTGGCTTTCTCCAGGGTGTAATACCATTCTGTCAGGAGTCAGAGAGAATATAGGCTTGGGAGGTTCAGGTGGTGGAGGCACGCCCTAGACAAGAACAATAAAACATTGACTATTACATATAAGAAAAATAAAACAGTCTTCTGCCTTAGATACACACGGGATGCTAAGCGAACATTTCATTTCCAACTTCTCAAGTGTTCTCTATGCATTCGAGTGTTTACATCAGAGTACCTCAGAATAGAAAATTGTTTTATATCTCTTTCTATAAAATAACAAGCGCACTAATTAATGGAAATTACTGTTTTGATTTTTCGCATGAAAATGCAAATTCAGAGCGCGCGTGCGCAAAAAAAAAAAAAAAAAAAAAGTGAGAATTTTTAGGTAGCCTCATTTAAAAATGGTATGTTATCGATCAAAGCGTGTGTTGGAACGCTGTTATCTTATACATATCCATCCCAACTTTTCGCTTCATGAGGACTGGTTTTACTTAAGGCTGCACATTCACGATTCCTTAAATGAAGCTTGATCACGCACCTGAAATCTCATGTCATCAGGGTTATAATCCGTTCTTTTCTTAGCCTTAAACGGATGGAACCCCTCAGTTGTCCAGTAAATCTGTTGAGGTCTACGTCCCTTGTTTGTTAAGCAGAAGACTCGGGAACATGGCTGACAGCTGAACTGTGCTCCCAATTGAACAGACGGTACAATGGGTGGATCACTGACTATAGTAGTACCAGAACCATGCGCCACTAGGCTTACTGTCTGGACTTGACTATCATTGATGTTGATTGATAGCTTGTCCAGGAATCTAAAGTCGTTGAGATTTGTTAGTACTTACAGTAA